CTCCACGTCCTCCTCCTCCTCTGCTCCCTTAAGCGGTCTCATCTGATTACAGCGTATAGCAGGGCCCCTCAGTCCCGCTCCTCACTGCCGCGAGTAGGAGGCACAACACAACTTGCCAAAGTGGCCCGGGAGGAGAGGGGATGTTGCGGAGGAGACCGAGAAGCAGAGAAGAAGATGGGGAACAGGTAGAGTGGAGAGGGGGTGCAAAGTTGTTTTGTGGGTCCGCGAGCGAAGCACAGACTGGATGTCTGACGATGGCGACGGGGCAGCGGATCGTTTACAGGCTCCCTCAGCAGCCCCCCCTCCCGACCCACCACCCCCTGCACACGTCCGTCTCCAGCCACAGAGTTCGCCCTCTACTTAAGGCAACAAGAGTCAGGCTCGGCATTACAAGCCTATTAAAAGATACTTTTAATTATGCCCCGCTCTCCCGGGATCACTTCTTCCGTGAACTCTGTGTTTCTTTGGCATGTGCACTTAGGAATGGCACAAGCAGAAGCACGTGTTGTTTTCTCCCTCCAATTAAAGGGCATGTTGACAGATTAGGGCTGCTTCTGGTTTGTGCTCCACTAACGCATTTAGGGAAGATGATGAACATGGAGCGAGGGGGAGAGGAGGGAGGGGACTTAAAGAGAGAGAGAAACCGAAAGAGAGGCTGATAGAATGAGAAAGAAGAAAAAGAGAGAAGGAAACATGCACATGAACCCTGAGGGATTAATGTGTTTACATTACCTGGGCTGTGATCTATCACCAGCCTCGTCAACTTCCATTATGCGTCACATATTTAAGCAAGTAACAGACCTGGGAGCCCCTGCAACTCACTCATACTATTTCTATTGGATTAAGTCAGAGCAAATATCTAGGGCACAGCTCCCACACCGTGGTTTTAGCATTCTGCTAGTCATTTGATTTGTACGTTGTATCACTTTACCGTCGCGAAAAGGCACTGCAGGAAGGAGCCCATCCTACATGCCTGGAGAGCTTTAGGCAGTATGAGATTTCGCCGATTACCATACGGCACCTATAGCATCTTCCAAACAAACCCGCTATTTGGGCCTCGCGAGTCTGGTTAGACAACAGCCAGGCGCGGGAACGCTCAGCGTCAGAATGTACTCACTCAGTAGGCGGATTCACCATCTGAGATACATGCGGTTGTCGTTTTGTGAGAGCAGGCCTGGATTGTGTGTTAAACACTCGGGAGGTTTGGCATCACTGTGTAGATGCTGACACTGGAGTCTGCAGCAGGGTGAAGGAGGCCACAGTCACACTACGAGCTGCAGTCAATATCCATTTAGTCACTGATGCTATTGGCTCGTTTCTGAAATAATAATATTACGGGTAATTTGTCTTGTCGTGGAGGAGGGAGAATTATCCTTTTTATAACATCCCTCATTTGGAATAGCGGGTCGCGGGTGAAGCTGTGGGTACAAATGTAAATAAATATTTTTGATAAAACACTGGGAAATCAATGGGTGCTTCCTGCGATCCATCTCGAGCGAATCAATCATCATCTGCGCAGCCGGCAGTCTGGTGCGGGAGGACGGCGTTGCAGTGAGAGAATGGTGCAATCTTCTTCTGATACCTCTCATTTTGGAGTCGCTTCTCATAATAGGGTCATCATTTCATCACTTAGCCAATCCAGAGCCCTGCCACTCAGCCTTGCAGGGATCATGGGGAGCAGGGAGAAAGGGGGAGGGGGGGGGAGGCAGACAGGCCTCATCAGGAGTCAACCGAACACACAATTCTGCTCCATACGTCTTCATTCAGGTCAATAAAAGAAAAAAAGAGATCAAGAGAACCGAGAGGAGATCAGAAAATGGATTCCCTCTCCTCAAAGTCATATTGGCTCATTGTGTCATTTTTCAAAGTCAAGTAAAATCATCAAATCACGATTTGTGTATCAGCCCATGAGCAAGCTGAGATGCACCTGTTAAAACACTAAAGCTTTCAGTGTGAACAGAATCATCCCGAAAACCAGGAGAATGCTAATTTAAGTTGAATAAAAGAAATGTTATAATAATGCAAAACTGAGCGTAAAATATGACTTTGTTTAAATGTAATTGGGGTCAGATTCAGCTAAGTGTACGTGTGTGTGTGTGTTTGTTTGGGGGGGGGGTGCATTTCACTGCTTGGTGACATTGGAAGACTTCCTCAACATGGACCTCAACAAATAAAAAACACACAAATTTAGAAAACAGCTGTGTAACTATATCAGCTGAAGATAAAAACTATTAACACAACAATAATGCCATTCATATTCATAATGCAAAGATAAAAGGGGGGAAATGACTTCTGTGCTTTAATAACAATAAAAGCCAAGGATGCCATTTGTTTAGTCAAATAGCATAGTGCATATGTGTTTAATCATTTAATAACCCCCCCCAAAAAAAATAGAAATGCAAGGTCAAAAATAAATTACATCCATTATTTGCAGCAGATCTCCCCAAAGCATTTGGAGCGAAAACTGTTTTGAATTTCAATTGGCTTCCAAGTGGCAAAAGCCCTCAGCTAATACATCAAAGAAAAATTGGTGTCAACTAATCGGTTTAGGACACAGATTTAGAATGGTTAAAAAATCCCATGAATACTTCAAGCATTTTATTCTTCCCCCTGAATACCGCTGAAAAGGCTCGGGGAGCCGTTCAGCTGACCTCGTGCGCGCCAGAAACCTGTCGACGTTAACTTACTGTTGAACTCGTCCGGACGCGCAATTAGTCCACCTCAACGCATAATGTTGCGTAATAATGCCCCCTATATCCAATTTAGATTACGCGCGCTCCCTCGGGCGTCGTAAGTGGCGCGCATGGTCTTTCATTCGCACCGTCTTTGCCACGTAAAGCCCTTTTCATTCGTCAATCGCGCGCTCGTTTTCTCTGGGGAAGAAAAAAAAAGGACGACGACGCGGTGACGAAGAGGAAGCGACACAAGTTTAGACGTCGTCAAAACAACATTTATGGCGATTTGAAATCGGGTCGCCTCATTTGCGACGGGAGCAGCCCATTTTTTTTAACGCATCTAGAACGCATACGCAGCATTTCTAATGCTTTTTTTTCTTTTTTAAAGCGCAAAATGAGCAAGACTCTACTCACCGACACCTCCTCCTTTATCGGGGCAGTGCTGAGAGTTGGGAGCAGTTGCCATGACCAACTCCTATTATAGGCTCCGTGATCTCAAATTATAGGTCCTCCTCCTACTTCAGAGTCTGAACCAAAGCGCGTTACGCACGACAGACGCTTCTTTTATGGAATCAATAATAACAATTAGAATAATGATAATAATAATATTGTCGCCCGTTCTGCAGGTACTTTTGTTAGCGGCTCACGTGGCAAACATCCTATACGGGATTTTTCTTTTTTGTCAGACAATAATGTAACGGACACCTTTCGCCCTAAAGATGATGTTATACTATTTCCCTCATATGCAACGCAATCAAAGAGATGTCAGCTGCCGCAAAATTCAAATACACTTCGTCCCGTTGCTGCTCATGTGAGGAAAAATTCTAGTAATTAGTTGATTGTCTAAAACACTGCAGGAGGCTTTGTGACACCACTGTAGGTCTCATCGTCACACTGTCATCTGATTACGCTACGGTCGCTTTGTGCAGCTCTCTCTCTCTCTCTCTCTCTCTCTCTCTCGCGCGCTCTCTCTCTCTCACTGTACCCGCGTCATCATTCTTTGCGCTCTGGAGGTTTTCAGAGCGTAAAATAGCACGTGACAGCGTGTGCACACACTCTTTAGCAGCGCCTACAGCGATCCCTTTCGGCTTATCTGAGACTTGAACTGGAAAGTCAATCATCAGCATGAAAACGCCTTGTAGATGGCTGATACAAAGTGAATAATATTTGTGATGGACTATTCATTTTTTTAAAGCAACCGCGCAATCACGCAAAGCAGGTTCATTTAATTACAAAGCTCTCCAAATGATTAATTAATAACTTTTTTGCCTTCCCCGATGCATAGCAGACGTTTAATATTTATGAAACGGACACAAACAAGGTACTTGCCGCTTACAGTGGCATATTAAATCTGTATTTCAGCACTGAAACGTATCTGCAGCGATCAAATGAGATTACATCTACTGGTCCAGGCGGATTTGGCGTAGTTGGCACTAATCTGCCCTGGTTGGAAGGTTTATGGCGATCTGGGAGTGTGAATCAGATTGGTTTACCCCCCAGGATATATATCGCAAAAAAAAAACTATTTAGCCGTCGCCACAGTTAATCGTCCAAACTCGGCGGAGGCCGGATATTATTCTCAATCACAGCACACAAACGTCAATAATGCAAAGTTTGTTTGCGCACAGCAGCTGTTCGGATTGATGCGTTCGGCCAGGTGCCGCTTGCGCCATCTTACTTTGACTTTTCGCCGGACACATTTCTTACCAAAGACACATTTCGTCTGGCGTTAGAAAGTCGACGTGCACAAAACGGCCGTAATCCATTTGGAAAAAAGAGCTCCCATTGCGGATTTTAAACGCCAGTCGCGCGGAGATCGCGGCGCATCAAGCCTGTAGATTTAACGCACATACTTAAAATGACGACTTTTTGTTGTTTTTTTACGAACAAAGAAAGATTAACAAAAAAACAGTGCAGCGCAATAGAGCGCATTTTTTTTTTATTCCTGCCGGTGTCTTGCAATCCCATCTCCCCACATCCGGGCTCACAAACAGCCGGTTTGTTATTGATCAAGTGTGAGAGTGACGGCTTCGTGAATGCGGGGGGAGGGAGGGAGGGAGAGGGAGGGAGAAAAAGACGACAAGAAAAAAAAAGAAGAAAGAAAGTTGGGAGTTGAAATACTCGCGTGATGTCGCCATCCAAAGGGGGGGCTGCCAGGCGCGCTTGAGCCTTACTGCGGCGAGCCTTGTTAAAGGGTGAAAAAATAGAGAAATAGAGAATGAGACGGATTGTTAGTTAATGCAAGGGGAGGGAGGGGGTGAGGAGAGAGAGAGGGAGAGAGAGAGAGGGAGAGAGAGAGCATGGATTTGGGCAGGGCTGTGGTTACCCAGCATAAACTCGCTTTTTCCTTCGGTGACTACACCCCGAGAGGAGGAGCGTAGTAAGCGTCAGGATCCTCAATTTTTCAACTTAGCATCTTGGCAGGACATTTTCCCAAGCAAAGCCCCCCGTCCGACGGGTAAAAAAAAAAAAAAAAAAAGAAAGAAAAAAAACTTCTGCGCCGGGCATGAGATCGAGGGTGCAGCTCAGATAAGGGAGCCACAGAAAACAAAACAATACGAGGCAACACATCCGACGGACAGTGGCTGGCTGCGGGCAGAATAATCCACCCAACGCCTAAGCCTCTCTTTATTTAATCACTTTTACTTTCTTTTTTTTCCTCTTCTTCCCCTCCTTCCTTCGCCATTGTCATTTAGGAGGGGGTGGAAAGGCAGCTGGTCTGCAGACACACGGTTCTATGCGCTCCGACAGCAGCGCGTGAGAAAATTAAAAAAAAAAAAGGGAGGAAAGTGCGCAAGTTAAGTGGCTCCGACTCTCCGGGCTCCAGCATGGCGTATCCGCAGGGCTACTTGTACCAGCCGTCCGCGTCTCTAGCCCTGTATTCGTGCCCCGCGTACAGCACCAGCGTGATATCGGGACCGAGGACCGAGGAACTTGGGAGATCCTCTTCGGGATCTGCTTTTGCGCCTTACGCCGGATCTACCGCGTTCACCAGCGCCTCGCCGGGCTACAACTCCCACTTGCCATACAGCGCGGACGCGGCCGCGGCTGCCACATTCACCTCGTACGTGGTGAGTAAACTAAAGGTGATTATTCCGTTTAATAAATAAGGAGTCACTGGCGAAGATGTATCAACTCGTTATAGAAGTCGAAAATACGCACGGTGCTCGCGTGCGGTGCCAAACCATTAAGGGGGAAACGTGCGTCACGGAGGAGTGCGTGGATATAATATTACAGAATGTGAGGTCCAGAAGACATGTTGTTGAGTAAACAGAAGTGTGGTAACTTGTGTTGTGTGCGGTTCCCAAGGAAATGGTGGATTTTGATGAGAACGCGTGGACAGTGCGTGTAGTCGAAGCTTTATCCAAGCGCATTCCCCGTCATGGCTCTGTGTTTACTTCTTAACATACTCCTTGTGCCAGTTGTTACGATGACATATTATAACTTCGGACAATAAAAATTGGGGAAATGATCTTTTGGTTGTTGTTGTTGTTGTTGTTGTTTTGTCATGGCAGCACAGGCAACACATTCAGACGGGGCTCTAAACTACAAAGGAGGATCCCAGCAGAATAGGCAAATTAGTGTTCGGCCCACTGTGCATAGTTCAATTGGTAGGATTCTAATGGCACGAATACAATCGGCTGCATGCCGACATGATGCGTAAATACGAAAATAAATTTAAAAATGCTGAGCAAATGTCAAATACCCACTCAACTAATAAACTCCATACACATTAACCTTAAACTTAAACTGCTGGACTAAAGCCAGTGTAATCTTATACGTGTGTGTAAGTGTGTCTACGAGTGTGTGCGTGCGTGCGTGTGTGCTCCCCTGTGTGTCCGAGTGCGCACATGCTCATGCGCGCGCGCGCGTGTGTGTGTGTGTGTGTGTGTCCATGTTTGTGTTTCCTTTTAACTATTGTTTAAGCATTCCAGAAAATGTGGGCAACATTTTTTTGCTCAATTGTATTTTCCTTTATCAGGGCTCTCCCTATGACCACACCACGGGCATGGCGGGCTCAATCGGATACCATCCTTACGCAGCACCCTTGGGCTCCTACCCTTACGGTGACCCGGCGTATCGTAAAAACGCAACGCGGGACGCCACCGCCACCCTGAAGGCCTGGCTCGGCGAGCACCGCAAGAACCCCTACCCGACCAAGGGCGAGAAGATCATGCTGGCCATCATCACCAAGATGACCCTCACCCAGGTGTCCACCTGGTTCGCCAACGCCAGGCGGAGGCTAAAGAAGGAGAACAAGATGACCTGGACCCCCCGGAACCGAAGCGAGGACGAGGAGGAAGACGAGAATATCGATTTGGAGAAAAACGATGACGATGAGCCAAACAAGCCCACGGACAAGGGAGACTCCACGGACACAGAAGCAGGTTGGTGGTGCAGAGGAGAAGAAGAAAAAAAAAGGCTAAAGAAAAGAGGGGGAAAAAAATCATCAATTTTTCATCACAGTCGTTTCCACTCAGGGTGCAAAATTGATTGCTGGTTAATGGTGGTATATTATTTATAATGGGACAATTGCTTTAAATAATAATCACCTTGAACTCCCCTCGTTTGACTTCTCGGGGGCTGAAATTGCTGGTGACGCAAAGTGTTTAGCAGTCAATTTATCTTTAACTGCATAATAAGGATACAGCTGGTGTATTGCGCTGGGTATTCGGCAAAAATGTTGCCATTGTACCCTCATTATATTCCAGCTTTGAGCGTTTGGCGAATGCTTATTACCATTACGACCGACGCGATAATATTCACTAGCGAAAATATATATTTGTAAATCAAAATAGTCTTCTTACTTTATGCTCACACGTCTATCAATTTCTATCACATTGTTCGGGTTCGCGCAATACTGCTGTACTCTTTCAATTCACTCGCCTTATTTTTTTTTATATCACAAGTTTAAAAAAAGGGCAATTTATGGGATATGTTCGAAATGTTTTAAAGGGAATTATGCACAATTGTGTCCATGCACCCGATTCCATTTCGCAATGCTGCTCACTTGCCTCGCGATTGCCCCAGCCCCCCCCCCCCCCCTCCAAAACCATATGTTACAGCTATATTAACATTTTAATGTCACGCTTATTTGGCAATAACTCCATTCTTCATTTTGTCCTTTTAGATCATAAACTGCTGGACCCAGGGGACACGGGCTGTGACAGATTTAAAGAGGAGACCCATGGCAAAGACACGGATCCCCTTCTGAGCGACTCGGAGTTAAAAGACCCGGAGGAGCGGACTACAGAGTTGCTGCCGGATTCCGCGAAACCGACCACGTCGTCTCCCTCGGCGCTGCCCCGAGGGAACCAGGCCGCCGCCGCGCAGCAAGACAAGCCGTCAGATTTGAGCCTGGCGACGGGCTCGGTGACCAGCAACGCGACCTCTGTTATCCACTCGCCCCCCTCGGCCCCGAAACCAAAACTCTGGTCCCTGGCGGAGATCGCCACCTCCACAGACAGGTGTAAGGGCAGCGGCGAGGGCCCACAGGCTGGCCCCGGTTTGGGTCAGATCGCGGCGATGGGCACCAACGCGTCTCCATCGCGGTCCTCCCCTCAGTGCCCGCTCCCCAACAGCACGGTGCTATCCAGGCCTCTGTACTACACCTCCCCTTTCTACCCGGGCTACACGAACTATGGGGGCAGTTTTGGACATCTTCACGGTAACCATGGCTCGGTAACCACGGGCTCCACGGCACATTTCAATGGATTAAACCAGACTGTGTTGAATAGAGCAGAGGCTTTGGTAAGAGAGAGCCAGAAAGTCAGAAGCCAAACGCAGGTAGATCTTTGTAAAGACTCCCCTTATGAACTAAAGAAAGGTATGTCAAACATTTAATACCTGCTTATTTTACACTCACTGCGGACTTTTATTTATTTTTTTGTGGTTGCATTAAAAAAAAAAAAAGAAAAGAAAAAAAGAATTATGATGAAGCAAATTCTGACAGCAGATATTTTCAGAGTAAATGCTTATCTTCAAATTTTTAGTTTCTGAATGGTTAATTATAAAGTGTAAAGAGAATGGTCTTAATTGCTGCAGCCACCTGAGTCTGTTTGTATTATAGACTAACATGTATATTTAATGTAGCATTTTTGTATTTAAAATGGACAACACACTATCTTTGAAGTAAATTATGGAAGAAAAAAAATGCCTGTGCAGCGATTATTTTTGGTGAGCCACATGATATGTGTCAAAAGTACTTCGAGGCCAATTTATCTACACAATATGAATTGAATTTTGTACGGTGACAGATTTTTCTATGGTAGTTGCCATTCCAAAAAAAAAAAAAAAGCTTTTGGGAGTGAGAGCTCTGACAAACGATAGAGGAAGGGCCTACTACATTCAGCATATGGATGTTGGAAACTCTAAACAATAAAAGAGTTCATCTTCCGTTTTTGCTGCAAATATATCGTTTATTTTATTATTTTTTGTGACTGAAGAATGTTGGAATCGACACTCAATATCGGTCCGGGAAATATCACCATTTTATTTTCTCTTTGAATACAACGTGGGCCCTTTTTTTGCTTCCTTGAGCATCTTACGTGAACGTGGATATTGATATCATAACAACACCGAGGCGCAGTCGTTTAACCCAATTACCTATCGTGCTTTATGCGGAGCAATCAGGTGGTGAACTCCGGTAATGAGCTCGATTTTATGCCAAATTTAGAGCTCATTACTATTTTCCAAGGCGTGGCAAAGCTGTTAAAAAGGGACGCGACCATGCATTTAGAACATACTGGCCTATTATATACCATTAATGAAGAGTATCCTGTAATGGCGCGTTGGATGTGAAACACTGATGTCTGGAGAAAAAGGGGAGAACGCTGTGACGCACATGCACATGCACATGCAGAGACAAGCGGAATGTTTTACACCGTGCAGCCGGTAGCCCGGCGCTGTCCGCTAACTCTTCCAACTTCCGCAGGTAGGTGTCACACTTGCTCCTAATTTCAGGGGGACTCTTTTGTTAATCCGTCACGGAAACCCATCCCTGATCAAATGGCCTGGTTAAAAGGAAGTGGAAGCCAATGGGGCACACACACACACACAATGATCACAGTTATTATGAGGATTATAGCAACTATGACAAATGGATAAAAAAAAAGAGCCACAAATTACATACTTGACGGACATGCAGAGCAAAAAAACATAATTGAAAAAAAGCGAGGTGCTTTTGAATTTTACATTTTGTTTTGTTGCTGATGATTTATTAATGTTAGAGTAATACATTCAACCAACTAAAAGTACAATATAAAAAAATCTAGTATTATACTGATCATCACTATTGCTAATAGCAAAAATATATAATATAATTTATAGGCCCATTAATGTTTTTATTTGAACTACCCGCCTTGAATATTAGTTTATGCAGTGGTTATTTGGTGGATATTACATTGCAGTTTAAATGGTACATTACTATAATACCAATTATTATGAATAATAATAATAATTATTATTAGTATTAATGCTGTTATTGTTGACCTCCACTGAAGTGGGACAGCATGATCTTGTTTATGGCTGCCATTAATCTCTATAGTTTACTTTCCCCTTCTCCAATTGGAAATCTCCCCTGAGGTTTCTATAATTCCCTTAGCCTTAATGTCCTCTACTCGGGCCCTCTATTTTAATCTGACAGAGTGTGCTGGAGCAGTGATTGCGACACATCAACCGGCTAAATAGCATAATTATGTTTTTTCTTTGCCGATCCCCGGAGGTTTGAACTGTTCGATGCGATGTCCCCTCGGAGAGTATTAAGACTTTTATTAGTTATTGCGTCGATTTCTCGGAATTGATTGAAGAAGTCATGTTTCACAGGGACAATATACACACTGTTTGTGTGGTGTAAATCCTCTGTGTGGGACTATAGGTAAACACTGTGACAATTTGTTTTACGTGTGAGTGTATGTGTGTGTTTGGGGGAGGAGGGGTTACAACAAACTAAACGCGGCAGAGCTATTCAGATTAACTTAACCTAACTTGTTTGTCGTTCCTCTCAGAGGTGAAACAACCTAAACACAATAAAACGATCTTTAATATAACTGTTTTTTTTGCTACGGATACCATTTTCTTTTACATATTTTAGGTTATAATGTGGATTTTCTTCTCCCAATTATTTCAAAATTGACTCCCTCCAAAAAAGAAATGTTTAAATCACCCAGTGGGAGAAGATGCATCACACATGCTCCTTGAGTCGGGGTTACTTATGCAATTATTAACTTACGTACTACTAATAATAATAATTAATATTGGTCATATTATTATTATTATCGTTAGTATTGTTATTATGCAATTAATAAAACAAATGTTTATAGCCTATATCGACAGTTTATCTGATGTCCCTGTGTTTCAGCTCAACATGGCGACTATTTAGCACATCGCAACGTGTGCAAAAAAAGAAAAATATCTCGCTAATTAAAATATTGGATATATATTTGATCGTTGATTATACTTGTTCTATTTCTGGGCGTGATGAAAGCCAGTCAATTAACCCCGTGATTACTTGGAGGAGCGGAGCGGGAGGATGTGCAACCCTTCATCAGAGGCATATAGCCTGCAGGGGAGATGCTCCCTGCAACTTAATACAACTTGCTCCCTGGCTTCCCCTTGGCTTGAATGGCGTGTCGGTTCATTGTTGGGATTGCTACAATGTGAGCATACTAAGTAGGGGTGAAACCGTTCCCACGTGTGGAAAAGGGGGAAATAATCCGACAGGAGAAGAAGCAGGAAAGAAAAGAGGAGGATAAGGTCTGTACCCTTCACTCCGACTTTGTTACTGTTGAGGTCTCAGACGATCCGGGGTGTTTTGGAAAAAAATGCTTCTTGTTACTGTCGTCATATCAATTAAAGATCCCCCCTCCCCCTCTCCAAAAATAAAGGCCACGGGATAGGCTACATTAATTCTAAAGGCCGCAACTTAAGATGTATTTACATTAGCTGAATCAACTATGAGGGTGAATACTGCTGCTTTGACCGGAACGACTACAATGTACATTTTTTGCCAATCGAAAAATGCATCATAAGTCATTTATTTGCATATAGCAAACACAAAAACTATCTTCTTTGTCAGAACAGCAACAGCAAACGCTTCTCTTTCGTTGCGGCAGTGCCTGTGTCACCAAAGGGAGTTTCATTAGTGACTGGAAATAGTGCCAATAGGCTGAATAACGAAAGAATACTGCAGTTGCTTCTTTTCGACACGATTGGATCTAATGTTGAAAGTTTGCACCCGTTGCCCCTTCAAATCCTTTTGTTATTGTAATGATCTTAGCATCATGGTGGACACTCATCACAGGTGCTAATGCTGCTCCATCGCCCGCTACAAACATCCCTTTTCCAATAACAGACATTTAGGCGGAGGGGTTGTTGTAAGAAAACAATATTTATCTGGAATGCCATTGATGATAGCGGGAACCGGTTTGGGCCAAAGATGTACAGCAGGGGCAGACTTGTGATGAAACTCGGGCGCTGTGGACCAAACGGATTATAGACACCTGCCACCGGACAGGTCCGTGAACGCCTCTCAGATCCTCCCGTATTCTGTCGGATCACAAGGTGAAACCAAAACCTGCTGATGAACACACTTCCAACAGCGCCGAGGGGACCGAGTGCGGCCGGATCACAACCCGCAGTCCGTCTACACACTGTGCACGTCGTTTACGAGTCGGGGGTCACATTTTGCTCAGATGTGTAAGAAGACACCCGCTATTTGACGCGCGCAGATTATTGACGGCGGTTGCGCGTGATCAGCAACGCGGTCGTTTCCTAATGAGGTATAAAGTGGGTTGAAGTAAAAAAAAGAGGGTGTTGTTGTTGTTTTTTCTTCTTGCAAAAATGCGGTTCGTTTATATCTTGGACTGAAATGCAGTTGGCTGTTGAGGTATTTGTCTCTCCTTCATTTTCAGTTTTCCTTTAAAAAAATTGCCCTCTGCTTCAAACCACATCTCACTGTGACGTTTTACATTGACCGTCTGTGGTTGTGAGAATTGTAAAGCATATGCAGCATATTCTATGTGGCTTTAAAAGCACAATAACAAATAGTTTATTATTTGGCCCCGAGTTTTGCAGTCAGCTCTTTTTCATTATGTTCCAAATGTTAAGAAGTGAGAGGCTCATATTTAGTGAGGACTTCTGCTCACTCATGGCTACTTAATCATCATTATTTCCTAAATGAGAAGGCTAATTGAGGACACAATATTTCTTCTGGCAAGACTTCCCAGAAGACTTGATTTGACATGATGTGAGTCGTGTTTGGGCCATACAACTTGTAAAACTGATTCAATTGGACATTTAACAATTGACTGCAGAAATGCGTCAACCCACCTTTTGGAATCATTAAAGAAAAAAAAAAGTGTCTACGTAACTTGAGTCTAAAGCTTTGGCACCAGTGTTCATGTTAAGTGGAGTTATAAAACGGTCTTGAACACCCTTTAAAGCGACCCAGATAAGGTGGCACAGAGTGATTTACCACTGTTTTTTTGCACTTCATGGTCTGTTTTTCTATTTCTCCGTGGAGTTCCTCTGGGAGAGATTACACGTGTAATTTTCAGCTGTGAGATGGTTTAAGTGTCCCCCCCCCCCCTTCCCCAACATAAATAAAACATTTCTATGAAGAAGGGGGGGGGAAATGTGGGGAAAAAAAAAAAAAAAAAAAACTAACGAAGAGTGATGAACGATGAAGTCCTAGGAGGTCAGGGGTGGAGGTTGGGAGAATCGGGGCATTCAGGTCCTGTGGCAAATATAAGTCTATTTACGTGTGCTTGTATTAGCAAATCGGGTTCGGAATGCAAAACCCAAACTATATAATATACGTTTAAATTCCAGAATGGGACGATCACGCTCTATCTCTAATGTGGAAATGACTTAACACCAACAAATACCCACAGAGCTTTATTCTGTGAGCACCTTGACTCCTTGAGAGGAGCGGCTCATTGACCAATCTGCTCTGACAGCAGTGTGGCGTGAGCTTCTGACCCCGTGACTGCAACGGGTCTGTGTTCAGTGGCCATGTAAGGGCTCCCCGGCGTTCACACCGAGGAGGAGGAGGAGGAGGAGGAGGGGCTACTGCGCCCGTTCTGGAGAAGGCGACCTGTGCGCACACACACACACACATTAAAAACACATACGCCAGCAGGAGGGACTTAAAAGTCCACGCCAAAGGCCCAAAAGGTTTGCACAGAGCAGCAAGTGTGTGCAGCATCGTGGGAGGAGACGGCGGCAGATTCTTCTCTCCTGTGACTCGGTACGGGTCCTGTCTGTGTCCTCGCCTGCCTCCTCTCTCACAAGGTGAGCAGGTTCAGCAACACTGATTAATGCCTGTGTTTTGTGATCCTCCACATCCTCTACAGCAGTTTTCATCACACATGCTGTTCCAGGTAGTCGTGATCTTTGGATGTGTAACTTGT